TGAGGCTGCGGTTATTTTTCTCACCACATTCTGCTTCGCATTTTGTGACTCAGAGCCTACTTTTGTTCAAGAAATTACAAGGTATTCCTCTTTGACTTATAACTATCCGAGTCACTGCTAGAGATTTACAGTTCTGTCGCACGCAGAAGTCATAGGATATCTGCACCGCGTCGTCACACGCCTGTACACATAATGCCGTCTGAAATACATTTAATTGTATTATTGCAAGCTGAAACAGCCGAATGACTGTCAAAATCTTCAAAGCTAGATAGCCACCTCATACAGAGCTGCAGTACGGTCACATGCAGCTTTCTGTGTGTCAGTGTTAACGCAGAAGAAGGTTCAATAAAATTTTACATGGAGTCAGATCATTTTAATAAGCTTTAAATTACTCTCGATCCAGTAATAAGATGACACGCATTCCTGCACCACTGAGATATTTCCATCTTTTGGTAGGCTGTAACTGAGAGGGAATTCTTCAGTTTGTGACCATGGCGTGAACATTTTTTACATACATTAGCCCACAGTTGCAGTTGTCATTTGTGGTAATGCCACAAAAGCAAATAAGGTTATATTAACAGAATACACAAGAAAAAAAAAAACTCAAACAGTTCGAGATGACTACTGCAGGTGCATATAGCTTTCATCAGCTGCATATAGCTTTCTACAAGTGGTAAGAACTACTCTTAGACTGAAGATGATTTCCGAGAATGCCTTTAGTTACGATGCTTTTTGGCCACACTCCACAAATGTAAAAAGCATCGTAAGATGGATTCTACGATTGTCTTCGTCTAAAGATGCTTTGGAGAAATGGGGCCCAAATCCAGCATTTTCATGTTCCACCTTAAGCACACTTGCCGTAACCAACCAAGTCGATGATTAGTTGCATCAGTTGTACTAAGGGTGAAACACAACATGTACCTAGATCTGGCTGGTGAACACCAAGAGGAGGGTTTAGTAACATTGCAAAAGAGTACTCAACCAGTATCTTTGCTCCATTCAGCTAAATGCATCTGGGGAGCATGTTACTTCAAGTCCACTGAGGGGTGACAGCTTTACTCCTGGGGCACCAGAATGCAGAGATTGACCTCACACATACAGTTCAACATCATCAGCCTGGCTGCCTCCTGCGCCTTTTAGCTGCTTCTTTCAATTTTTTTTGCCAACGAACACAAGGATATTTATTTATGGGAGAATGTGGGAATAACCAGCACATACGGAACAGTCTGAAAACGTGACAAGAGTGCCAGTCCATGAGAGGGCTTCTTTCTCTCCTGTTTGTCTTCCTCAAAACCTCACCTCTCTACCCAGCACTCTCAGGGTTAACTCTGACACAGGGATCAGCGACAGGGATTGACTCAAGAGCTGCCAGGTATCCTCCTGGCATATATGTAGCAAAAAAACCAACAGCCCATATTCACATAAATCCATACAGGATACAAGAAAGGACTCGGATAAACATACACACAACCACTACCAAGCAAATAAATACCCAGATACAAAGATACTGTAGCTACTGGCTCATATGCCATTGCGCAAATGCACGTCCCTATTGATGCTACGTCTCACACACACACACACACACACATAAACAAAGTACCCGGCTTGTAACAAACAGGCGTGATCCCTCAGCGGTCTGTGTGAGTACAGACCGGACACAGCGGGAGGGCGGATAATGAAAGGAATACGCGCAGCTTTCTCCCTCTGGAAAGCAGTAGCGTGGCTCTTCCTCCTGACAAGCAGCAGCGCATTCCCTTGGAGAGGTCGGGTGTGGGAAGCGATGTGATGATGATGATGATGATGATGATGATAATAATAACTGGCGACGTTGCAGAGGGAACCGTTCCTGCACTTTCTCAGCCTCCACAGAAAGCGCGTGCCTTCAACAGTGCTAAATATCTCACATTTAAATCGGCCTTAGCATGCGGGGGTGAGTCCAGGGGAAGCCATGTGCCACTAAGCAGCTACGGGAGGCAGAGGAGTCAGTGCAAGATGTTCCCTGACACACACCTTTTTTTATTCAGTGTATGATTACCAATATTAATTCTATTTCTCCAGACACATGAGTAACTCTGAATATCTAAAAAACAACCAAATTATGAAAATTTTTATTTATTCGAATGAACCAAATGATCTTCATTTCCTAGAGGATGAATCATGACTAAAATTCAATTTCTCAAGGAACTATGTCTTGAAATACAGCATTCTACAACCAGCTGAGCACTCTTAAGAGCTCTATCACAAAGAAAAATGAGTCAAATAAAAGGTCTCATTTGTATTTTTCTGGCACAAACATCTGTTTCAACGGCACCAGGGAGGTAAACCACATCAGTAATGTGTCTGAAAAGCAGGTGAGGGCACCATAAAACAAGGCAAGAGGGCTCACATTCATGAATTATGCCTTCTGCGTAATCTTCCACTCTGTGGGGGAAGGGGGCAGTTAAAGCGTTTATCCTGGCCACACACTGAAGCAAGAGCTTTGCACTGGGTTTTCTCCAGAGGCGCATATCTCATCAGCACCTCCAGTTGCCACCAGGGTCGCTTAAACAGACCGGTGGATGAAATAAAGCAATATGAGTGAAATATATCCAGCACCGGCCTCAGGAGCCCAAGGAGGCCATGACTGCCTGGCTCCCTTGGATCCTCCTAGGATCAGTTGCTTGGCAACATCACTTGATTAGGTTAGTGGGGTTAAGGAATATCTGGCATAGCCTGGTGGGATCAGATCACACTCATTGATCATCTGTTCTCTTCCCATTTCGGGCCTTGACAACTCACCCAGAGTAGGAGCAACTAAAATCAAAGTCATGGATGTTGTGGGGTAGAGAAGGCCAAAAATGGGAGGAGGGAGAATTACAGAAGGGGAAATAATCCATGTATGACTTAACATGATACCCAAACTTTCTGATGGGCAATTTTAACACAGTCAAACCCTTTCATACAGAATGTGATCTAATCAAACCCAAACCTTCTAATATTCAGAATGACAACACCCAAACTCCCTAATACCTTTGATCATGCTCAAACAATTTCATGTATATTCTTATCACATCCAAATCCTCTTATATATACGTATGACTACATCAAACCCAATTCCTTTCATTTATGATTTAATAATGCACTCAGCTACTTATGAATGATCTCATCTCAGAAAAGAACCCAAGTCCTTTCATATACAATCTTATGACACCCTATATTATGGCTCTTATATACAGTATTGTCTTATTTCACCCATAACCTCTTGTTTATGTTATTATCACTCCCAGCTCCTCTCATACATATTCAGGTTCATAAGTATTTGGTCATGGTTTGTGTTATTTTAGCTGTCCAACTCGGAATATTGGAGTGGAAATTATTTTTTTTTCACTCTTAATTTGAGTAAATTTACGCCCAAATCAGACAAATGGTATAGGAATTAAAGACCAATTTATATGTGGTCCCCCTTCTTATGTGCCCAAAATTAACAGGCAGTTGGCTGCACAGTTGTTCTATGGCCAAATGGATGTTATTTCTTTATTTTTTCATTTACAAATACCAAGCAAAATGGTGTTGAGTAAATTTCAAGTGTGGCATTTGCATTTGCAATGTTTTGCTGTGAACTCTTGAGAGTTCACAGCAAAACACTGCAAATACTGTGCTAATTCATGCCAGGTGGCGTCATGGTTATTTTTTTTAAGCATGCCGGGACAGATTTTCAACGTCCCATGCAAGCCGGTATTCTGACAAATTCTGCTGCTTTGTTGGAAAATGCCACTGCTTTGCAAAACTGCCACAAAGTCTTTGTTTTCACCTTAGTAATAACCTTGTCATGCCATTCTTACCATATTTGATACACAACTTTCTATGATCTCTACGTCATCTACACAATCAATACTTTCCTCAAAAACCTGTTGTATGCAATCTGATACATGTTATCTGCCCCTGGTGGACTATCCATGCCCTGCAGGCAGTAGAGGCCCATAGCATACGAAATCAAAGATGGCTGCCCCCATTCACCAAGCTGCAGGTTTTTTTTCACATAAATCTTTTCTTATTTTGACAAAGTTATGGTAAGAATAACTTTTACATTGTTACTTATACTGTCTGAATATTTACTGGATTGAAGCAATTCATAAATGCACAACATTTTGTTGCTTATTTTATGGTAAAACCGAGTTGAAAATGTATGAAATAAGATCATTTGAAACTTCTTTATGCAATTCCATTGCTTCCAATGTTCTTATTTCATTTAAACAATTTAAACGATCGTGAAACACATGCATTGCTTCCAACCCCTGAGTAAACAAAGGCGTGAGAAGTCCAGGATCATAATCGGTTTCCAATTACTGAAATCCACTGTAACACGTGAAACTAATGAACCTCCATGCACAAGGACTTCAATTCCCCACAAGAATCTCTTACAAATGCGTTTATTGAATAATTGCTAACTACAGCAGGGGAATGAAAATATGCCACGAAAACCTCAAATGCGTGAGAGTTGACAGGAATGTGTTATTAATGGAAACTGACCACACCTGATAATGTTGAGAGTTTTTGGAGTTTCTGTAATGGTAATTTAAATGAATGATTGCAAACACGTCATAACCAATCATTATTATTATTTTTTTTTTTAAATTTGGCATCTCCAATCCCACCCGAATCTGGAATGCCCAATTGGTGAACTATGTACAAGGCTTGCTCGTATGCCACCGCTTGCTGCCAATTCAAGAGAGTGTAGACAGTTCGCGGCTCTCCTCCGAAGCACGCGCCTGTCAGCCACCGCTTCTTATACACTCATTGGTTGAATCTTCGCAAGTTCAGAACGAGGGTGGAGAATACCTGGACATGAACAGGTTTAGAATCTTCGCGACGAGCGCCCGTCTGGCCAACAGGAGGCACTTGAGCAACGAACAAGGCAACTATTTTTTTCCCTTCCCGGCAGTCCCTTCCCAATTTGCAACCCTGTGGCGCAATAGCCAATTGTGCGCTACTCTGAAAAAGCTGCCGACCACTGCTGGCTGGTACGAAGCGGGGGTCGAACCCGCGACACTTCTAGTCACTGGTCACTTCTGCTTCGCAACGCGATGCTTTACCGAGTGAGCTATCCGGCAGCCATACCAATCATTATTTTTAAGGGACGGTTTGAACTTCCCCTATTGCCGGTTCACCACCCGCCACTGGTATATAAGACCAAGTCTCACACTCGTTCTTTGTGAAGTTTCATAACTACATGCCTGTGTTGCGTATTTAGTCTTGTATAGATGTATTCCCCACGTAGCACGTGTGTTTGCACTCTTACTCTAAGTGCTGTTTTATTGTTTTAACCTTGATTCCTGTTTGTTTTCTATTTGTAATACATTGTTACTGCTGCTAGTGCCCAGAGTCTGTATTACCAATAGTGTGTAATCAAGGAACCTTGATTCCCGCTTGTTTTGTATTGCTTCATTCATCCCTTCTGCTGCGCAGTAGGCATAATAAATACATACAAGTCCATCCTTGCACCTGAGTCCAGTCCTCAACTTCCTGTCCTCCGTGCACCTGAACTATGCACGAAGCACAACCATAACAGGTGCTGGTGCTAAATCACCAGCATTGCTGAAGACTACCACAATGTTTGTAAGATAAGCACTGTGCAGCTACTGAAAATGATGACTAAAATCTTTTAACTGACACAGCTATGGCCAGTTTTCAATCAGCATGTATCCTTGATTTAGCATACAACTAAATCAACTTCTAGGAAATCTAGTTGATATGTGAGTGGTGAGGCCCAACCCAGCTAATGGGGCTGCCTGTTATCTTCTTCATAATATAATTTGCTGATAAGATGAAACATAACTCACTCTGGCAAAAGGCCAGAATGTGCTTCTTTGGAAATGCATGCAGCAGAGCTCAGTGTGCGTTTGTATCTGCTATTCGATGAGAGACATTGTCCTGAATCACAGATTGATGTCATGCAAGTCAAAATGTGAGTTGGGAAGATGAAACACATGCACCCATGCATGTGCGAGACAATTTTAAAAGCAAGAGGAGTTATTCACTTGTATAAACACACATTTCTTTTTTGCACATGTATGTTATTGAGTTTGTAATGGGAATTTCAGGGGCAACTTAACTCGAGATGAAACTTGTTCAAGCAATTTGAAAAGCAAAGGAAAAAATCTATTGCTTGTAATTCAATGTGAATATTATAATTAAGGTGAGAGTAAATGATGTAATGCCACTATAAACTGAGCATGAGCTGGTTTCGATAAACCATATTCACCATATGGATTAGTGCTTTAAAGAAGAGGTACTGTGCAGACAATTCTGCCACAACCCTTTTGTGTCAATAATTGGCTCCTCGCCTGTAACATTAATCCGTGTGGATTTTTATGGTTTGTCTCCTTCAATTCATTTACAGTCTTGTCTCCACCCTTGCTTCCCGGTGTTATCATTCGTATACCTCGCCCCTTTTGTGAATTTCCCATCTATATAAGTTCATTGTGGAGTCAGTGCAGTTGTGTCATTAGTTATACACAACTAAACCCTCCAGTCAATTTGTGTCTTCTATTATTGAGCTAAGCTCTTCTTCTGTGTGTTTTGGTATTTACATGATAAAGTCAAATGGAGACTAATTAATTGGAACAAGCTCCCAAGCCTTAAAATCGCTCTCCAGGTGGGGATCAAGTTCTAGTTTATCCTTTTTTTCCTACCTGTTCCTCTGAGTCAGTTTATTGCGAACACCTCCCAAGCTTTCATCGGTGTCCAGGATTAGGACAGTGTTCCTGCTAAACCCTTCTTCGTGCTGTCAAGCAGTCCTACCTCCAAGAGGGGGATGGCCACTGGCCTTGGCACAGACACGCCCCCACCCTCTCCAGTCATTACTACTTTAGCTGGACAGCCCTCTTTTATTACCATATTCCTGTCCATAACCACTCCTTTGTGGATTCCACCCGGAATCTATTTTCGGTTCCTTATCTGGACCGTAGCACAGTTCCATGGTAATGTCAACCTGAGAATTAAACAATAAGGTTACTTACTCTGCAAATAAATGATTTTATGTGTGCACTTTAGTTACATACTGTGGAGTGCAAACTTCACTGGACCACAGTATTAATGAAGTTGCATGCTATTGTCATTAGAGTATTGCATGAACACTGTAATTCAGTCTAAAAAAGTTACATAAGACAATGATGTCACATCCAAAGCACTGTGTTTTCCTTATGAAAATAAAAACGGAAATAGAAATATTTTTAAAAGTTGCCATTTCTGTGTTCAGTCAGACCTCCATTATTATGTGGATATCAAACTTTCAGCATTATGTTTTAAAGTTCTCAGAATTCTTAGAAAGTTATCATCTCACCAAAATGCCTGCCTGTAAGTATCACATTCAAAATGCAGGATTTGTTATTTGAGCCCCTAAGAACCATACTGGGCCATCCCGCCCTTTTGGCGAAACTCAGTTGAGGTTGCGAGCATGTGCAGAAAACTGAGAACAACATTTCCTAAATGGGCAAACCCAATCTACCCACAAGGATTGTCAGTACAAGCAAACGTCCTCTCTGCCCCTGTACATATGCACTGCACTGCCTCAGCCATAGAGGGCCATCCCACAACCTTCCTATAATTCACTGCAAACATGGAGGCTAAGGTATCTCGCTGATGAGGAATTGCATCCTATGATTAACGATGATGGTGAAGTGGAAGATGACAGAGACCCAGAGTTTGTCCCAAATGAATCAGAAGATGATGGTTCCTCTTCAGAAGGAGGTAGGTTTCACTTTAAATGATGATTATGCATCCAAAACCTATACAAAAAGTGTAAGTGCATAATTTTACATATCTTGACTTTGCAACATATGTAGTGTTTTGTTGCCAGTTGCTCTAGATGACACAGGAGGCTGGCAACTTTGAGTCCCATTTTCTCAAAAGTACCCCAACATGGGTTGGCCCGGTATGGTTCTTAGGGGCTCATTTGTTCTCTGACCTCACAATATTTTGTAATTATTTTCTTTGCTTTTCCAGTCATCCAAGTTGGTCCTATGAAACAATGAATAATTTTTTTTCCTAATCATATCAGAAGAGTAATTTTTCTGAGCTTTTTGTTTTGCCATTTTGTTTCCAAATATCACTTCTGTAATGCTTGAATTACCTGTATACACTTTTACTATTATGGGTGGAACTAAGAAGAATGACCATTGTTGCATGCAAAAGTGATATTAGGGTGTCCTAGTTATGTTATGGGCAACACTGTCACCTCCCAACAAGAAGGTTGTTTGTTCCAATCGAGCAGTGACCTTTCAGCAAGGAGGTTTCATGTTCTCCCTGTGTTTTCAAGGGTTTTCTGCAGGTAGGCCAGGTAGGTACCTTCCACTGTCTGAAAACATGCATTTTATGCGCATAAGTGACCCTTAATTGGCCGTATGCATGAGTGTGCAAATGAATGTGTGTGCCATGCAATGGATTGTCAAACTGTTGAATTCCAGCCTCCCTCCCATTTGATGCTGGGATAGGCTTGAGTACCATGATGTTGAATTTTATTTTATATATATATAAGTGTGTGTGTGTTTGTGTAGGGTCTTTTAAAGAAAAACACAGATAAATTGAGTTATGCATTCTGGCATCTCTTCAGAGTTGTCCACATCTTATGTACATTTGGCAATGTAGAAAGAGGTAATTGCAGGTACTTATTCCAACAGCAGAAGGGGGACACTCATTGGACAGTTGCCAGAAAGGTTTCAGTGGGGGGCAGAGGAGAATTTCTTGTAGCCTTTGACCAATTAGAATGAAGATACTCTCTGGAGAAGCTATCCCAGGGGTTTCTGGGGTATGACAACAGTTATATTGTGGATTATTCTCTTGTCTGGGTAGAGATACAGCCCAGCCTCCAGCCCAGCGAATTTCAGAGACACTCTTATCGACTGATACGGAGGACCAATTGCAGATGCATTCTTCTTTATTTCCTCGAGAAACATTTCATATCTCCGCATTTTTTTCTGATTGAGACAAAAGAGAACATACCCTGAAAACATCAAAAAGCTGACATATTAAACAAGTTTAAATATGTCAATTTATATTCATATCCACACTATTTTCCCCGGTTCGAAAAATATCCGTTTAAACCACAAGTGTTGGGCTTCGGAAGTTTGAAAGCATGAAAACATTTACTTTTCTTTTTAATGCTGATTATGATGTCATAAAATTGTTATTTCATTGAATTGTTGATTTTTTAAATTTGTATATAACATGAAATAGAACAGTACTGACATGAATGAATTGATTTGTTCCTCAGATAGTTCTGTGATTGAGGATCCGAATTTTACAATAATCCTTATCATCCTAGAATGTGCTCACATTAACTGGGTGAAATGGGAGGACAAAGACAACAAGAATGAAAGTGTATGAGCCAAATGCTTTCATACCCTACCTCTATCATTGATCTGTATGTTCTATTGGTGCTTGTTTTGGATACTTGCTCCCTTTGTAAAGAACAATGGCCAGCAAACATAAACCTCTTGATATGTGCATTTGGCAAAAGCCTTCACTGAATCCGCTCTATATGTTATTCTTGAGATAAAGTAAAAAATATCCTTTAATATCCCCTACCTACACCCTCCTTCAGATATCTATGGTGTTATGAGTTTCAAAGATTAGACGAAATTGTATTGTTTACAAAAATTTATTCATACAAATCTTACAACACCTTTTTAAACATTCATAAACGTTACCCCTGAGGAGTTCCGTGTGTAATTATAACGATATTACTTGTTGATATTAATTTTTTTCACACAATATATATATATATATATATCATATATCTCTAAATTTAATCTTCACGTTTAGTAAGGCTTTTGGCGCTTGGAGAATGATACACATTGGCCTTCATGGATCGGATGCCATGATGCTGGCAACTAGCTATCACAAATTAGTAATCTAGCACTCAAAAACAAATGAAAAAAGAAATAGAAATAGTAAAAGCGCTCTCTAAACCTAATCCTGACACCATTGATCAAATCTAAGATCTGCTCATCACAAAAACAAGAACCAAAAATTGGAATGTAAGCTGATGGTTTGCAGCATTGTAGGGCCACTAAATAGCCATCTGTGATTCGTGGCGATTTAAAAGTCGAAG